GCGGGGAAACGGCGGTGGGCGGCCGGAGGGAATAAAAGCCCGGAATAAATAGTAGCTCATTTAAGTGGAACCCTCCGGCGATCGCACATTTCCCCCTACCGGTCTGCACCGGGGCCTGAGGCGCTCTGGAGAGCCCGAGGCAGGATTCTGGGACTGTGGTGACTGAAGGGTTGGCTGTTGGCAGATAGCATATGCGCGACGCTTGGCGGGCCGTCCCGCGCCCCTGACCCTGTGGTGGCACTCCATCCCCCCGCCATGAGCGCGCCATCTGGCCGGCCGGTGTACCTGGCAGATTGGCCGGGGACCCGGTCCTCGGCGTTACCGACCCGTTACCGGTGTTTCAATCTGCGGCGGTGGATTTCCCCCCCCCCCTGGGGGCCCGGCTCCCGCCCGCTGCCCGGGGGTGTACTCTTACGAGGCGGCCCTCGAATGACCCACTGCCCAATGCATCGGCGACACGATCGCCGTCTCACGGGGACCGGTTCGGAGGGAGAAGCACCCGGCGCCGCGGTGCAATGACACGGCCGGGCGCGGTTGCTCGGGGTCGGGCCGCGCCGGCCTTCATCGGCGGGCGGTGCATCAGGCCGCCCGCCGGCCCGGCAGGGGGGGGGGGCCGGGGCGAGCAGCAACGCCGGCGGTACCAATGGGTCAGCACGCTGCGGTGGCTTTGAAAGCCCGGCCCGCGGGAGCCCGGCCCCGGGTGGCCCAGATCGCGCCTGGCCCCGGAGCCAAATCCAGGGCAGCCTCAAGGCACCGGGGTGCACCTGCCTTCGCCCTCCTCGCCCCTTCCGGCGCCGGACAGGGGCCCGACGTATGGTTGTGCTCGGGCGTGGGGCAGCCCGGCGGGAAGAACCGCACACGGGTCGGATCGATCGGGCATCATGTGTATTTGCGTGCGTGTGGGGCTTTCCCCTGGGGGGCGCCGGCTGGCGGCCAAGCTCGGGCCCCCCCGCCGGACGGAGGTTGCCCCGCTCGCAGATCCCCGCGCCTGGCCGGGGAACGACTTTGTTTGTAGTCCGTATGTTTGTGTTCTTTCGCCCGGTGGCCCTGCGGCGCCCCGCAACCGGCCGCCCGTTTGACCGGGTCATCCCTGCCTCCTGAGCTCGCCCGGCGAGGGACCCTGTTCCTTGGGGCGGTTTCCGGCGGCCCGCCTCCTGGCCGCTCGTCATCCTGCGGCTGCCCCGCAGCGCCGGGTCAATCCATGCCCGATCGCCCTGCCCCTCGGGGCCCGCAGATCGCCCGCTCCATGCCGGCCCGGTGCCTGGGGGTGTTCCTCACCCCCGGGGGCGGTATGCCGGCGGCCTTGGAGCCACTCGGCGAGCATCCGGCTGATGGTCTGCACGCCGGCTGCAGCCCGCTGCCGATCCCTCCCCCCCC